CCTTTTCCCTGTTTTGCTTTCTGGATGCAAAACACTCCAAGCCCTGGAGAACAGAGAATACCCAGGACAGCAGTAGTCCAAGTTCCTGAATGACTTAGTGGGAGGCTGTCCACCAGCCAGAAACACTGCACCGGATAACTGCGTGAGTAAGAAAGAAACTTCTACTGCCTTAACCACAAATATTTGGGGTTTGTATATTACAGAAGCTACCCTAATATTAAAGCAGACAACCAGTGACTGTTCAAGAGGCCCCCACCCCACTTCTGTTCCAGTTCTTTACTGCTGCATAACACACTATCCCCATTGGTTCAACACAACCATTGTATCATGCTCCCAGACTCCGTGGGTCAGGAGCTCAGATGGGGCGAGACAGGGATGACTCAGATCTACCCCACAGTGTCTGGGCCTCAGCTGGAAAGGCTCAAAGGCTGGGGTGATGCAGGTCAAGGGGGCTAATATCATCCAGGGGCACCTTCATTCCCATGCCTGGCACTTGATGCTGGATGAAGTCGGGACCAACAGTCTGGAGCTGTTGGCCAGAACGTCTGCACGCAGCCTCTTCCTGTGTTCTCTCTGCTGCTCGTGGGTACTGGGTTCCGAGGGCATCCCAAAAAGTCCAGGTGGAAGCTGTTATCACCTTTTTTTTCTTAATGAAAGGTTATTTTGGAGATTTTGATTTATCTTTAGAGAGAGGGGAAGGGAGGAAGAAAGAGTGAGAGAAACATTGATGTGCAACAGAAACATCAATCAGTTGCCTTTTGCATGCCCCGCAACTGAGTACCTGGCCCGCAACCCAGGCATGTGCCCTGACCGGGAATCAGACCAGCGCTCTTTTGTTTCGCAGGCTGGTGCTCAATCCACTGAGCCACACCAGCCAGGGCAGCTGTATCACCTTTAATGAATGGCATAGCACCTTTTCTTCTGGAGTCACATAGATTCAAGGGAAGAAAATACAGACACCATCTTACAACGTGAGGAGTGTCAAGCCACATTGTAAGACCATGTGGGATGGGTGATCTTGTTGTAATCATCTTGGAAAATAATCTGCCATATTTTCTTTGCATAGTTCTCTCTTTCCTTTTCTTCTTGCCCTGTGCTTCCTCCTCTTGTCATTTTTCTTTCCCACTTCCTAACTCTTGCTAACATTCCTTAGCTCAGTTCAATGAACATTGGTTGAGTATATGCAATGAGATATGTGTCAGATCCACAGATACAGGCAACACCCTACTTCCTTCCTGCATCCTTCTATCTTTCCCTGGGGTATGGCCATTCCAGCTTAGAGACCACAGCTAGACTGTAATGAATGCTGCATTTGAGGACACATAGATCCGAGCTCACAGCCCTGGCTTTAGTTCCTTGCACTGCCAGCCATTAACAGAGTTTCATTCCTTCATTCCTTCAGTAAAAATGTCAGGAACACAATAGAAAACAAGACATAACCCTTAATAAGCTCATGGTAAGGAGACCCTGGGTAACCCAGTAGTCTCGGGTTTCTCCTAGGTAAATAGGGATATCTTGCAGGTTGGTAGTGAGGATTAAGTAAGATAATATATAAAAAATACATGGTAGGTACTCAAAATTGGTACCCACTAATTCATTGTAAGACTATTTGTGATAGAGAAAGACTGGAAAGAACTGAACTGATTATCAATACAGTACTGATGGAAGAAACAATGGTACAGCTACATAATGGAGTAATATACAATGGAGTAAAAAGGATGGAAGAACCTACGTATACACTGCAACGGAATTATCTCCAGGATATAAATGAAATAAAATGAGCAAGATGTGAGAGTGGGGTAGGGGTGGGGATGAATTGGTGAAGCACAAGGGATTTCTTTTAGGGCCTTGAAACTATTCTCTATGAGAATATAATGTGTGACACTACACGTTTGCCAAAACTCGTAAAACTTTACATTAGGAAGAGTGAACTTTAATGTACATAAATTTAAAAAATAATTTAGGAGGTCAAGGGCTCCAGGCAGAATGCAGATTTTGAAAAAATAGTGTAACTGTATGAAACAATCTCTCCAAAGGGGCTGGAGAAAAAGGGTGCTGACCTAAGTAACTCTGGAGCTGAGCTGTAAGACAAAAGGCAAAAGCCTGCGCATAAGAAGTCTCCTCTAGTTGTTGAAGTTGTTTCCCACAGGTGGTGGGTTCCTTACAAAGCCACCCTACATGTCTACTGGAAATGATAGTTAAGCAAATGTATGGCTGAGGGTGAGAGCCAGGTGTCTCACAGCTGGAGAGAAAGATTACAGATGAACAAGGGGGCAGGGGGTGCGGGTTAGGTGGGAAATGACTAGAATGATCAAGATGCCAGGTGCAGTAGAGTTGTAAGATGTCATGCATACATTCAAATTACACACTGAAATAGATAACTGTGTACATGCATGTTATTACATACCCACATACAATATACATGCATACATAAGTATTCATAGATATAGAGGGGTTAGGATTCATTCACACATATTTTTCCTTGCTTTGTCAGCTCAGAGAGCCTAGAAGCAATGACATTCCATTGGCCACAAGCACACCCAGTGCCCAGATCTTTGTTTCTAACACTATTTTTTAATAAAAGGAACCAAGGATCCTTAGAGAAATGGCTGATTCTAGGTCTAAAACATCATGTGCCAGAAAGTAAGCAAGTGCTCAATAAAACACATGATGGGAATTGTGTCATGGGACAGTGTAGCCAAAGTGGGAACAACCTGAGTAACAAAATAAAGTGGTACTGGGTTATAACTCGAAGTATAAAATAAGTATCCACAAGTCCATATTTATATAAGTAAATGACTCAATACATAAATGGGGGAGAAGAGACAAATCTGTGCAGAAGAATTTCAAATAACTTATGCGGATAACCTGCCTTAAGGAAGTAGAGCAAAACTCCCCATTCCTTAAGTGTGGACCGTGCATAATGACCTCCTTCAAAGAGCACACTGTGGGAAAGGGGCAAAGAGTAACTTTACACTGCCTAAGCTGCATGATGATCAAGATTAACATCAACAGTGATAATTCCTGTTGACAGCTTGTACCCTTAATATGATCTCATGAGGATGGCATTTTTACTTTTGTGGTCTTCCTCCCCAAGACCTATAACCCCAGTCTGATAATAAGAAAAAACATCAGAGACATCCCAATTAAGGGATATTTTACAAAATGTGGGGCCAGTACTCCACATTTTCAAATGACTTTGAGTACTCCACAGTACTCAAAGTCATTAAAAACAAGAGAAGTCTGAGAACCTGTCACAGGCAAGAAGAGTCTAAGGAGCCTGGGGTAATGTCAGGACGGCTTCTAGATGCACTTGTTCCCCAGACAGAACACTAAGGGGACGTGCAGGCACCGACAGACACCCATCCAAGCTTCGGGGGATGTCTGTCTGAGGGTGCAGATATGGCACTGACCAATTTTCCTTACCTTTTGTGACACAACAAAGGGCAATCCTTGACCTGACAGTGCCACACAGACAACAGGCTCCGGGCTGGGGTTGCAGCCATGTTAGGAAACTGGGTTCTGGGAACAGACCTCAGTTGGCACCCTGCCCCACCATTTAATTTTTACTTTGGGAAGATTTCTCAGCCTTTCTGGGCCTCTTTTCTCATCACCTGTAAAGTAATGATAGGAATTATAGTTGTACCCACTATCATCATATTGTTGATAAGGGACAAGCAAATAAGATAAAGTGCGTGGGGAGTTTGGCCCAGTACCTTAGTTAGCACTTAGATCTCAGTAAATGTCAGCCACTGACTAATGTACTTTGTATGATTTATTTAGTATATGTATTTTCTCCTGACAGAATTTTAAAAAATTGTTAACCAGGTATTAGAAAATTGAAATGACAAAAGCAGGCATCGAATTGTCACAGAAGTACTCACTACAGGGAACGGCTACCACACTATGTTGGAGACTTCAATGAAGAAGTTTGAATTGTTTTTTATTTCTTTTCTAAATTAATAGCTTTACTGTGGATAATTTACATACCATAAAATTCACCCACTGGAAGTGTAAAAATGTTTCAATGACTTTTTAGTAAATGTATACAACTGTGTAATAATAACTACAGTCCAGTTTTAGAAAATTTCTAACACCTTCCAAAATTTCTTTTTAAAGATTTTATTTATTTATTTTTAGAGAGGGAAGGGAGGTAGAAATAGAGAGAAACATCAATATACGGTTGCTGGGCGCCGTGGCCTGCAACCCAGGCATGTGCCCTGACAGGGAATCAAACCTGCGACACGTTGGTTTGCAGGCCACGCTCAATCCACTGAGCTACACCAGCCAGAGTTACCTTCCAAATTTTTCTCGTCTGTTTGCATTCCATCCTGGTTCCGATGCATAGCCAGCCTCAAGTGACTGATTTCTGCCTGGATAGATTTGCCTAGAAGTAGTTTCAGTTAAAAGAAAATACACTAGTAAACGGCCAGGCAAAATAGATACTATTTAGGAACAGACTTAACTTTTTAAAATTATAACAAGTTTATTTTTTAAAAGATATTATTTATTTACTTTTAGAGAGGGAAAGGGAGGAGTAAGGGAGAGAAACGTCAATGTGTAGGTGCCTCTCCAAGGCCACCTGCTGGGGACCTGGCCCGCAACCCAGGCTTGTGCCCTGCCTGACTGGGAATCCGACCGGCGACCTTTGGGTTCCCAGGCTGGCGCTCAACCCACTGAGCCACACCAGACGCGGCAATAACAAGTTTAAAGTTGTTTAAAGGTTGGTTATAGTTTTACGGAAATCATCATGAAGCAAAATGTAATTTAAAAAACAAAAAGATGAGAAGAGTTTCCATTTTAGGGAGGATAGGACTGAGGACACAGTTCTAGAAAGTGAGAGGAGAGTGGAACGCGAGTGTTAGATTATCTCGTTCGCCCCCGCCTCCCCCTGGAGATAGTGAGCTGCACACCTGCGCGACCCCCGAGCGCCCTTTCTCGCGCAGGCGCAGTGACTTCGGGCTCGCCGGAGGTGGGCGGGGCGCGGAGCCGGAGCCAGAATTCGCGTCGATCGTGAGCGCAGAGCGATTGCTTCTGTCTGTTGTGTAGTTATGTTGTCAAACAGGCGAAGAGGCGGCGGGAACCGGGGTCGGGACCTGGCTTGGTGCTGGTTGTAGTGGGCTATGGGGGACCCCGGCTCTTTGGTTCCGAGGGACCGCCGCGGAGGCCGGAGCTGGTGCTTGCGGCGCGTGGGGATGGACGCTGAGTGGCTCCTGCTGGAGGATGGAAACGAGGTGAGCGGGAGGCCTCGAGGGGTGGGAGTTAGAAGAAGCCGGGCCTGGAGGGGCCCGAGGCGCCCGGGCCCGAGGGCTAAAAGGAAAAGAAGGGGTGGGAGCGAGGAAGAGGAGAGAAACGCGAAGGGCCTGAGGGAAAGAAGGGAGAAGTGCGGGCGGTTGTGGGGGGAAGGGCCTGGGGTAGGAAGTGTTTCGGGGAAGTAGGGATCCTGTGGGAGGAAAGATGGGCCTCCAGGGCGAGCTGAGGAGGCCGGGTGCAGGAAGGAGCCGGGTAGGGGACGTGAGGACCCGCTGTGGTTTCGAGGGGTAGGAGGCGACTGACTGGTCTAGGAGGGAAGCGGGCAGCCCCACTTTGGGTTGCGCGGAGCCCTTTGGATCCCAACCTCGGCGGAGAGCGAGCACTTTCTCGAGTTTATTTTGAAAACGGTTGCGAGTTTTGGGTCAAAATACTCAAACTTTAATGTAAAAATACTTTCTTCCCAATTCTTGAGGAAAATGGACATTGTGGGGTGGGCCACATTTCTCCCGTGAGTCTCGGTTACTGCCGAGTGGCATCCCCTGAACTGGCTGGGGAGTGGGGGATTCAGAAACATAGAGGCTGCTTACATTGTTTTCCAATACGGTCATAAACGCAAAAAAAAGAGAGAGAAAAGGTGAGACAGTTTTTTTGGGGGGGGACATTTGGAATCGGGGGTGGTTCCAGAGGAGGGTGATGGAAGAGAGGAGGGGGAGTTAAGAGTGCTGTTAGCTTGCGGAGAGCTGAATTAGGGACAGCTGGTTGTGGCAGGGAACCGTTTGGGTTTTGGAGATAATTTGTGTGAAAGATAAAGAAGTATTTTATTATGTATGTATGTTTGACTAGACTTTCCTATAAACTATATAATCTCAATTTCGTTTCCCACGTATTTATTGAGTACTTACATTGTTTAGTGTACCATAAGGGAGCCAAAAAAAGATTTATGCCATCAACGAATTTATGGCTTGAGTGGAGAAAGAGGATTTTATACATAGTGAAGCAGTCTGAGAACATCAAGGCAGGCTGTATGATCAAGTGCCAAGATGAGGATTATTTAGCGCTATCTTAGAGCAGTGGTTCCTCAATTCAGAAGAGGGATTCGGGTCTAGACTTAAATGTTGCCAGATTAGTTGAGATGGTTAAAACGGTTACTTGTATTTGAAGAACATCATGAAGAAACCCCTGACCCCAAATCTCTTGGTCCCCAGGTGTTAGTATGTAAAAGTCTGCATTAGACATTCATTCTTTTAGTGAATGAGCATTTACCTTTCCTTGCACTTCCCTTTACAAAATCATACATCTTTGGGAAGTTTCACAAATGAAGATACTAACACCTGAATAATAGTAACTATGTTTTGTATAACGTTTGCACTTTAACATAATTGCCTAATCTGGGCCCCACACATATACTGTATTTCCACACACAACCCTTTATTGTACTTAGAAGTCAAGTGTTAACTCACTCCTCAGATTAAACTGCCTTGGATTAATTTATTACCTCTGAATAGCTTGGTAACACTATGAGTCTTGGTGGGAGGAGCGGAGGGCAGAAAGAATTAAAACATCTGCAGCAAGAACTAAAAGGCTTGCTTTCCTATACATACTTTAAACTGTTGGATAATTTCATCTGGAGAGAGACCCACAGAAATCAGATGGAATGATGAAGACACATGGGAGGATTGGCGTGTCTCCATCCTGGTGTGGAAGAGAGGTCTGTCAGGCCAGGCTGTGTGCAAGGTGGGGGTCTTAGGAAGTAGTCGGAGCATAGCCTGCAGTGTGTATGAAGAGAGGCCTGAATCAAAGCCAAGAGATGAAGTCTTACTTATTGTACTGGTCCCAAACCATAGCACAAGTTGGTGGGCACATGATTTGAAAGGTATGCTGATATCATTTGATTATAACAGCAGAGTAAGATCAGTTTCCTGCCTTCCCAGTTCACCTCAGTCTCAGATTTCACAGATAAAATAATAAAACACAGTTCCTCTCATTTCACTGTAGGGAATACTGTAGTAAATTGTCTGTCTGAATGTGTGTCTTTAAATTTCTTAAACTAGAGAGTTTTTTGAAAAAAATACTGCAAATTAGCTAGTACTTGGCCCTATAAGTATTTAGGCCTTTGTTACAAATAGAAAAACTTCCGGCCAAGATGGAGGCATAGGTAGACATACTGTGCCTCCTCGCACAACCAAAAGAAGGACAACAACACAGTTAAAAACAAAAAACAACTAGAACTGACAGAAAATCTAACTGTATGGAAGTCTAACAACCAAGGAATTAAAAAAGAAACATTTGTCTGGACTGGTAGAGGGGTGGAGACGGGCAGCTGGGGTAGAGAGGACTCGTGGCAATGCGGTTGGAGGACCCCGTAGGCAGTGGCTGGAAGAGTGGGGTGGGCAGCCCCACATTTGTGTGCAGATAAATGGGGAGGAACAACTGAGGAGCGAGACACACCATGTAACCCAGGGTTCCAGTGTGAGAAAAGAAATCCTCAAAACCCCTGACTGAAAAAACCTGTCAGGGTTGAGGTGGCAAAAGAATCACCCAACCTCACAGAACAGTTTGTTGGGGAGACCCACAGGGTCCTAGAACGTACACAGACCCACCCACCCAGGAATCAGCACTAGAAGGGCCCAGTTTGCTTGTGGGTAGCAGGGGAAGTGACTGAAAGTTGGTAGAGAGCAGAGCAAGCAGCATTGTTCTCCCTTAACCCTCTCTCCCATGTACAGTGCCAAAATGCAGTGATGTGGGTTGCCTGCCGTTGTGAACACCTAAGTTTCTGCCCCTTACTACTTAACAGGCATGACGAGACAAGACAAAAAAAAAAGGCCCAAATGAAAGAATGGATCAAAGTTCCAGAAAAAAATACAACAAAGCCATGAAGAGATAGCCAGCCTATCAGATGCAGAGTTCAAAACAGGTAATCAGGATGGTCACAGAATTGGTTGAACTTGGTCACAAACTAGAGGAAGAAAAATGAAGGCTACGAAAAGTGAAATAAAAGAAAATGTAAAGCGAACCAACGGTGACAGGAAGGAAACCAGGACTCAATTCAACCTCCTTCCCTAGAAGGAAGAAACAAACATTCAACCAGAACAAAATGAAGAAACAAGAATTCAAAAATATTAGGAGAGGCTTAGGAACCTCCAGGACATCTTTAAGCGTTCCAACGTCTGAATCATAGGGGTACCAGAAGGAGAAGAGGAAGAACAAGAAATGGAAAACTTATTTGAAAACCTAATGAAGGAAAACTTCCCCAATCTGGCAAAGGAAATAGACTTCCAGGAAGTCCAGCAAGCTCAGAGAGTTCCAAAGAAGTTGGACCCAAGGAGGAACACACCAAGGCACATCATAATCACGTTAGCCAAGATTAAAGATAAGGAGAGAATCTTAAAAGCAGCAAGAGAAAAGCAGTTACCTACAGAGGAGTTCCCATTAGACTATCAGCTGATTAAAAAGAAACTTTACAGGCTAGAAGGAGCTGGAAAGAAGTGTTCCAAGTTGTGAAAGTCAAGGACCTACATCTAAGTTACTCTATCCAGCAAAGCTATCATTTAGAATGGAAGGGCAGATAAAAGTGCTTCCCAGATAAGGTCAAGTTGAGGGAGTTCATCATCACCAAGCCCTTATTTTATGAAATGTTAAAGGGACTTATCTAAGAAAAAGATCAAAACTATGAACAGTAAAATTACAACAAACTTTTAACTATTAACAACCGAACCTAAAAGAAAAACCCCAACAAACTAAGCAAACAACTAGAACAGGGACAGACCCACAGAAATGGAGATCACATGGAGAGTTATCATTGGGGGAGTCTGAGTGGGGAGGATGGGGGGAAAGCTACAGGGAATAAGTAGCATAAATAATCTACAAAATAAATATAGGGAGGCTAAGTATAGTATAGGTAATGGAGAAGCCAAAGAACTTATATGTATGACCCATGGACATGAACTAAAGGGAGAGAATGTGGGTGGGAGGCAGTGCACAAAGGTGGAGGGGAATATAGGGGGAAAGTGGGACAACTGTAATAGCATAATCAATAAAATATATCTTTAAAAAAGTAGGTGTCTGGGAAAAGCCGTAGTGTCTCCATTTCCCCCTTTTTCTTCTCGTGTGTTTGGCTTACATGAAACTGGGGACTAAGAGGGTTGGAAAAAGGGAAAGGATGCTTCCAGAATATTTGCTGGTCTTTTGGGAAACAGTCAGTGTCATTCCCAGGAGGAAAGGGATAGGATTAGTGAAGGTATGTAAGGACAAGATGATCTTGTAAGGACAGGATGGTTGTGATGAACTGACACCAGTGACGTCAGTTCAGTAAGCTCAGAGCTTTGCAAAGTTATTGTACAGAAAATGGAAATAACCCCAACCTATGAGTTGGTGGTTTGTTAGCACTCAGTTCCCATGGGAAATTTAGTTTTGTGTTAACAAGTGATGCTGGGATATCCAGGTAAACTCACTGCAGACTTTTAGCCATGGTTCACTAATGTAAATTTTAGGACCAGACAGTGAAGGGAAGGACAAAACAGTTTTTCCTTCCTTTTCTGGATCCAGAGTCTGTAGGAGACAGTTTCAGAAAAAGGCACTCATCTCCCTTTTCTGTAATACTTTTCCCAGCCCACTCCCAATGGCAGTCTGGCTGTCTCCCCTCAAGTATTTAAATGGAGTATAGAATACTTTCTTTATTAGAAATAAAGCTATCTAAATGGAAATTCCTGCTGAATATGGATGACAGATACATCCTTAAATACTGCATTTTTAAAGGACATATATGTATATTAATTCAGAAGAACCTTCATAGTTAATGGACTTTTTGGCAAACTGTCAAAGAACTGAAAAACTTTGGACTTAGGGTTTTGGTAGAGGTGGTCACCACAGAATTTTAAAGGCAAACAAATCTGACTGTGAAAGGTCCTGGTTACTTGTTGCTCCATTGTTTCCAGTGGTAATGACCCAGTTTCCAACCTCTGGCCTCAAAAAGACCTGTCTTGGAAACTAGGAGGACTCATAAGCAGTATCTCTTCATTTATTCACAGATATTTACTGAGCAGCATGCCAGGTACAAAAATACAGCAGCACGTGAGACAGATAAGGTCCCTGCTCATGAAATTTATATGCTGATATGAAGGAGACAGAAATAAACAAGCAGGTTAGTTTTGGCTTGTGATAAGTGCATGCTAGTAATAGAAAGAATGCAGTGGGGTTGGACAGGGGAGTAGAGAGCAGGCAGCAATTTCAGATAGGGCCATCAGGATAGGCCCTAAGAAAGATGAAAAGGGGCCCATGTAAATGTCTGAGAGAAGAGTGTTCTAAGCAGAGCAAACCAGTGAAAAGACCTTCAGGTGGCAGTGAGCATTTCTGATCATAGCATGAGATAAGACTAAAGAGGTGGAAGGGTTTTGAACATGCAGGGCCTAATAAGCTATGAGAGGAAGCTTGGATCATTGGAGAATTTTAAGGAAAGGGAAATGATCTGATTTAAAGTTTTTACATTACCACTCCAGTTGTTGTGTGAAGAATAAAGTTAAGAGGACCAGCCCAGGAGCAAAAACAGTGTAACTGGTGGAAGCCAGGTTGTTTTCCTCCAAGCACATGTTTGTTGATTTTAGAGTGGGGTGGGAGGTAGGGGAGGGAAGAGAGAGAGAGAAAAAGGGAGAAAGAAACATCAGTGTCAAAGAGAAACATTGATTGGGTGTATGCACCCTGACTAGGGATCAAACCTACAACATAGGTATGTGCCCTGACCAGGAATTGAACCTGTGACCCTTCAGTGTACAATACGACACTTCAACCAACTGAGCCACCCACCCAGGGTGAAAGCCAGGTTGTTTTGACTTTGGTAGTGACCTTAGAGATAGAAGTGAAGAGATTTAGGACATACTAAATTACAGGCAGTAGAATTTGCTGGTGATTTTTTTATTTAAGATTTTATTTATTCATTTTAGAGCGGGGAAGGGAGGGAGAAAAGGGAGAGAAACATCAGTGTGTGGTTGCCTCTCACGTGCCCCCCACTGGGGACCTGGCCTGAAAGCGAGGCATGTGCCCTGACTGGGAATCGAACCAGTGCCCTTTTGGTTCACAGGCCAGCACTCAGTCCACTGAACCACACCAGCCAGGGCTAAATTTGCTGATGATTTGAACGTGGGTTGAAGGACAGAAGAATCAAAAATGGCTCCTGAGGTGTGGGCTAAGCAGATGGTTGGATGACAGTGTCAGTTACTGAGATGAAAGTCCATAGAGGAAGAATAGATCAGGGCAAGGAGAGTCGTGTGGTCTTTGAGGGACTGAGGAGGACAGGGATGATCCTGAAAGATTTTCAAAAGGAACAAAGAGGGCAGCTTTTAGAAGACCACAGATCACTTGACCTAATGTCCCCGGATAAGGTGTGGTATGGATCATTAAAGAGGAGGTGGCTTGTGCACCAAGAAGAACAAGCAGGGAACGCTAAGATTTGGACCTCAGAAGAATTTTGTTTTCTTTCTTGACAGGGTTATAATGAACTAGACTGGTGCACCAGGACAGTATGACAGATGTGAATTTGTGCTTCTTTGCAACCTTTTCCAGGGACCCTCATGCTGTCCTTGTGGATGAGATGGAAAATATGGACACAATGCAGACTTTGCTTGAATTTACAGCTGGCTAATGGGTGTATCCAGAACAATGTTTCCTAGGCTTTTCTGAGAGCTTTACCTTTGGCTACGTCCTCTTTCAGTCTTGTATCTGTATCTTGAATGAAGGTACAAAGGGCATCATATCACTTTGGTGGGTGACTCATAGTTGGAAAAAGTAATGAGTATGTCTGATGGCAGATTAAAAATTCATAAAGGTCTTGACAAGCTCATGTAATAGGCTGAACTAACAAGATGAAATTTAATAGGAGTCAATATAAGGTCTTGCACTTGAATCCAAATTTACCAACTATCAAGTATATGGGGTAGAAAACACATGAGTTAGTATAGCAATTCTTGGGGGAGGGTCAGACCAAGAAATTTAACCATTCCTAAGCCTGAAGATACATTGACAGCATAATAGAACTTCTATGAAAGCAAATGTAATTTATATGCTCCAGTGATAATATTTAGAACTAGGAAAGTGATACTTGGTTTCAACTGTGTAATAGAAATTAAGTTTATTTTTCTTACTATGGCATTCAGGATAGCAAAGACCCATTAGGATAGTGAAGAGACTCAAACCTATGCCATGAGCAGTAGGTTGAAGTAACTGGGAACACAGGGCCAAGAAAAAGGAAGACTTGGTATACACTACAGCTCCCATGTGGGAGAAGAACTGGAGATTTTCTGATGATGTCATGGCAGAGCCGGGGCCAGTGGATGGAATTTATAGTGAGAAAGATGCCAAGTCAGAGCTATTAAAAAACTGGACAAACTATCTTGTATAGAGGCCATGGTTCTTGGCAGTATTTAAGACCAGTTGATGAGGGTGTGCAGAAAGAATTCCTCCATCTCATTACTTTTGAGGTCCTACCACCCCTGACATTCCATGAGTAAATCCATTCAGCTGTCTCTTTTTGTCACAGCTTCTTGCCTTTTTCTACCTGGTGGCCCCCATGGCATCTGAAAGAGGAGATTGCCGATGAGCTGCGTGGGTTTCGTGGGAATCTGGTTTCGTGAGTCAGGACACGCATATACCACTGGCTGACAAGACTGTAAACCCTTTTATCAGCACAATGGCTGATGGTGTCTCTTACGTTGTTGTTGTCTCCTTAGGTGACTTTAGGACGAGGACTTGGTGTTACATACCAACTGGTATCAAAAATCTGCCCTCTGATGATTTCCCGAAACCACTGTGTTTTGAAGCAGAACACTGAGGGCCAGTGGACAATTATGGACAACAAGGTACAGGAATCTATAGACGCCTAATGATTTTTATTGAATTTTTGTTTGTTTTTAAATTGCTTTTTGTCTGTGTATAGGTAATACATATCCACAATTTAAAGATTCAAAAATATATTGTCTCCCCTAACCACCCATTTGTCTTCCCAAGAGACAGCCACTTCTGCATGCTACCAGAGATTGGATTATGTTGAAATGATTTCAAAGGACTTGAAGTTAGTTACTCTGGGAACACCTGAATTATGGCAGTAGTTCTTACTCCAGGAACTAGACTAATTTACTGGGAAGGATTGGCCCTTTGTAATTTGAACCGTGGGAATCCAGTGAAGATTCTGGAGCATGTCTGTGGTTCGGGACATGGGGAAGAGGGAGGAGCAGAGTTTACTGCACCCAGTTCTCCCCCTCCCCACTCCTGTCAATCAGAGCAAACCATCTCCCTCTTCCTTAAACCTGTTTCATGTATTGGTGTTCTGAGGAACATTTTATTCAAAAAAGGGTTTTTCTGCTTTAAAATTTTGAAAAATGTGAATACTAAGGAAGGCAAAATAGTGTATAAAGCCTAGAAATTAGACAGTACCTAAAGTACAGATATACAAGCACCCAGGAATACAGTGAAAGTAAACACTGTGAGGTAAGAGTAATTCTAATGTAGGCATTTAAGGATTAATAAGTATAAAATGTCTTCAGACACTATTTTAAACTGCTCTGGTTGGAAGGATTTTAAAGATGACTGTTAAAAGGAAGTATATTAAAATGGTTGAGATGAATTTCTGCATGTGGGGAGGGTTACTCCCATATCACCAAGCAGTGCTGGGGACAGCAGCTGGATGTCCTCCCATTCTGACACCATCTACCTGGAGATAGCAACAGATCCTACAAGTAAAGGACTTAGTCCTGCAAGACGACCCTCCACTTCAGACCTTGATTGCAAGCCCAGGTTAACACCTGTGCTTCTGACCAACCAACCACCTTACAGGTTCCAAGGACCCCATCCTTGGACTTCAGATGCCAGTTGCAAGTCCGGGTTATTACTTGTTCCTCTGACCAACTAGCTATAAATCAGAGGTTCCCATGACCTTCTACCCCTTTGGATTCAATTAATTTGCTAGAATGACTTACAGAACTCAAGGAAACATTTACTTACATTTACCAGTTTATTATAAAAGGAGTAGAGGGCTTCTGGTCAAGGTGGCAGCATGTATAAACTCAGTACTCGCATCCTCCCACAACCACATCAAAATTATGACTATACTGGAACAATCATCATTCAGAACCACCTGAAGTCTACCTGAATGGAAGTCCTATGACTAAGGATATACAGAACAAGTCACAGCAAAACTGATAAAAGGGACAGAGATATGGGACTGGCTGGTCCCACACCCACATGTGGTGATTTAAAGGTGGGAGGGATATCTCAGCTGCAGAGATCCCCTCTGAAGAGTGAGGGGTCCCAGCCCCACACCAGTGCCCCCATCACAGGGTTCCAGTGCTAGGAAGAGAAGTACCGATAACTTCTGGCAGTGAAAACCATTGGGGATTGTGGCAAGTATCAGGCAGTTCCTTTTGAAGGGTCCTCACACAGACTTACTCGGACTTGCACTTGTGGAGCTCCAGCACTGGGACAGCAGCTTGAAAGGCACCAGAGGTATACAGGGAGGATCTGAGTTCAGTTCCCTGGTGTCTGGCATCAGGGTGAGAGATAGAGGGGCAGCTTTCTCCCAAACAGAGGTGTGGGCAGAGGCCATTGCTCCTTTTTTTAGCCCTTCCCCAACAGAGCTTGTAGGCAGGACCCATATGTGAATCTCTATCAATCTGGCTGTCACTGTTTGCCCCACCTTGGTGATTCTGAGGACCTGCCCCACCAATTTGCAGGCTCACCCAAGCTGTTCTCAGTGGGTTTTCCATACAAATGGCCTGCCTTGGCTTGTGCTTCAGATTTTTCTAAAATCTCTCAAACATCTGGCCTTGCCATGCCCTGAACCTCTTGCTAGGTGGCCCCAGGCTTGGCAGTAGTGGCAGCCAGCCTTGATTTGCAGCTTGGCCTTTCCTGGGCATCTCCAAGCCCAATGCAAGTAGCATCCATCTGCAGATTGCTTTGGTGGCTCCTGGCAGAACACAGGTAGTGGCTGACCTTGACCTGCATCTCCTGGGAGGCCCCAGAGCCAGTGCATTTGGTGGACAGCTTCAGACCACGTCAAAACACCGTGCAACCACCTCCACAAATGACACACTGAAGGGGCAGACTCAGTGGGCACCAGAGCCCCACTGAAGTAAGTCTTGTTCTATGGGGTGGGCCCCTGCACAGCTGATCCTCTACAGTGGTCACAGCCAGTCCTTGCAGCTGATTGGCCTGGGGGTAAATCCCTCCCATTGATATGCCAACAGCAATCAAGGCTCAACTAACAGGAGTGTGTACAAAGCGCACACAGGGGTGAGGGGCACACCTAGAGTGCCCAGCTTGGGTGATCAGTGAGGCTGTGCCACTGGGCCCTTCAGGACACCTATGACATATGGCCACTCTACCAAGCCCAGGAGACATAGCAGCCCTACCTAATACATAGAAACAAACACAGGGAGGCAGCCAAAATGAGGAGACAAAAACATGGCCCAAATGAAAAGAGGACAAAATGGACATGAACAATCTATTAGATGCAGAGTTCAAAACATTGGTTATATGGATGCTCAATGGATTCAGGGGAAAAGTAGATGAACTTAGAACTTCAATGGCATAAAAAAAAAAGGACATGGAAACCATAAAAAAGAATCATTCAGAAATGAAGGCTACAGTAACAGAAATGAAGAATAATTTACAGGGAATCAACAGTAGAGCACATGAAGCCAAGAATCAAAACAGTGATTTGGAATATAAGGAAGTAAAAAACACCCAATCAGAACAGCAAAAAGGAAAAAGAATCCAAGAAAATGAGGATAGTGTAAGGAGCCTCTGGGACAGCTTCAGGCATACCAACATTTGCATCATGGGGGTGCCTGAAGGTGAAGAGAGAGAGAGTAAGAAATTAAAAACCTATTTGAAAAAATAATGACAGAAGGCTTCCTTAACCTGGTGAAGGAAATCATGTCCAAGTCTAGGAAGTATGGAAAATCCCAAACAAGATGAACCTGAAGAGGCCCATGCCAAGACACATCATAATTAAAAATGCCAAAGGTTGCCCTGGCTGGTGGATTGAGTGCCGGCCTGCAAATGGAAGGGTTGCCAGTTCCATTCCCAGTCAGGACACATGCCTGGGTTGCGGGCCAGGACTACAGTGGAGGGGGGGTGTGAGAGGCAACCACACACCAATGTTTCTCCCCCCGTTCCCTTCTCTCTAAAAATAAATAAAATCTTTAAAAATAAATAAATAAAAATGCCAAAGGTGGAAGACAGAGAGAATCTTAAGAGCAGCAAGAGAAAAGCAGTTAGTTATCTACAAGGGAACTCCCATAGGACTGTCAGCTGATTTCTCAACAGAAACTTTGCAGGACAGAAAAGATTGGCAAGAAATACTGAAAGTGATGAAAAGCAAGGACCTACAACCAAAATTACTCTACCCAGCAAAGCTATCATTCAGAATCGAATGACATATAAAGAGCTTCCCAGACAAGGAAAGCCTAAAGGAGTTAATCACCACTGAACCAGTATTACATGAAATGTTAAAGGGTCTTCTTCTTTTTTAAACAAAATAGGATTTTATTTATTTATTTTATAGAGAAGGGAAGGGAGGGAGAAAAAGAGAAACATTGATTGGTTGCTTCTCACACATCCATAGCTGGGGGCCTAGCTTGCTACCCAGGCATGTGCCCTGTCCGCGAATCAACTGAAGACTTTTTGGTTTGCAGGATGATGTCCAATCCACTGAGCCACACCAGTTAGAGCTAAAGGGTCCTCTTTAAGAAGAAGGAAAAGAAAAAGATACAAAATATAAGCAATAAAATGTCAGCACATGTCTATTAACAATTGAACCTAAAAAACAAAATAAACGAAACAGAAACAGACTCATAGAATGTTTGGATGGTTGCCAGATGGGTGAGGGGTTAGGGGATGGGTGAAAAAGGTAAAGGGATTAAGAAGTACAGATTGGCTCTTACAAAATGGCCATGGAGATATAAAATACAGCATAGGGAATATAGTCAGTAATATTCTAATAACTATGTATGGTGTCATATGGGTACAAGATTTATTGGGATGATCATTAGTAAGTTATATAATGTCTAATCATTGGGGTGTACACCTGAAACTAATAGGATAATGTCAGCTGTAATTGAAAAAATTAAAGATAGTTTAAAAATTTAAAAGAATGTGATAAGGGATGCAGATGAACATCCATTTGGAGGAGATGTTTAGAGCAAGGCATGTGGAAGGGGGTGTGGAACTTTCATGCCCTGTCTAGGTGCGACACTCTCCCAGCACTTTTGTGTATTCACCAACCCAGAAGCTCCCAGAACCTGTCCTTTCTTTGGTTTTAATGGAGGCTTCGTTACAGAGGCATGATTAATTAAATCGATGGCCATTGGTGATGAATTCAACCTGCAGCCCCTCCCCTCCCAAGAGATCGAGGGGTGGGACTTACAGTTCCAGCCCCCCCTAGCAACCAACTCTCATCTTTAGGTGACCTAGAGACATTCCCAAAGTCACCTCATTAACATAACAAAAGACACTGCTCTCTGTGACTACTTAGGAAATTCAAAGAGTTTTAGAAGCTCTGTGCTAGAAACGAGGATGCAGTCCAAATATATGCTTCTTGTCATAATTCACAATATCACGGGTATCCTGCAGGTCTGCCCAGCAGCCTCATTTTTCATGCATAAAACTTGTAGATTTAAGCTCTTGGAGAAAGTACTTTCTTGTGCTAGGATTGAGTTGAGTTGGCACTAAGTTGAGTTGGCACTGTGGCCAAGTTAAGTGGTTCAGTACTTTTGGCAAGGCCCTGTGAGAAAAGAAATTGGCACTGAAAGGGGGACCTTACAGATGATGTAGTTTAACCCCTCTGGGAACAGATGAACCCGAGGCCCAAAGAGATAAACTGACTTGCTGAAGGCCTCCCACATAACTGACTGAGTGACTAAGCCAGGGCTCAAACTCCCAAGTCTCTATCTACTACAACCCATTGTCAAATACCAGTAAAGGACACAAGCAGTTTGCTATGCTGGCTGAGTGCTTTAAAAACAGTTAATTACGCATATTTAAGACATAGTTGCAAAGTTTTTCAGCCCCTGCAATAGCTTACATCAAAACACCTTAGGGAAGGATGTTTTCCTCATTTGAGTTGACTATTTAGTGACGAGGTTCAGTGGTTCAGTATTACAGAGGTGCGTTTCCTGCTGCTGCTTTCTTTGATTAGTGCAAGGTAGATGTGTTCCATTTATGGGATAGCAGGTTTTGAGAGTTTGGGAAGCCACGGGCTGACTGATTTTGGTGTTCCTTGAACATCAACCTCAGGGACATAGAGGCAGCTGGTGCCAACAACAGATCATGACAGTGCTCCCCAGGTCACTCCCCAATGTTTGCCTTGCACCTTTCTTCTAGAGCTGGTGTCGTAAGACTCCTCTCTCAGGTCTCAGACGGATAAGATAGAGAAAAGGCAGGTGCCTGATTCTTCCAAGTCTTTCTGGTTTGAGCCTCTTAGCTTTGAGTCAGTTTGTGAGATAACTGGATTTTGAGAGAAGCTATGACTGGATTGTTTTGATGGAGCAACTGTTCTCATGGGTAAGCTGCTCCCTTCACTTTTTTTTCCCTTTATCAGATGCTCCTTTCCTCTCTGGCATGATGCCTTACCAGCCTTCTCCGATGAAGGTCAGGTACAGGGTATTATTGTTATGGTCACATCTGAAGTCATTTGCCAAGTTGTTTTAAGAGGTGGATATTACTAATAACTCAAAACTCAGAGCTATATTCCGTCTTTTTTTTTTAAGTTTTATTTATTTACTTAGAATGAGAGGAAGGAAAGGAGAAAGAGAGGTTGAGAAACATCAGCATATGGCTGCCCCTCACGTGTCCGCAACTGGGGACCTGGCCCAGAACCCAGGCATGTACCCTGACTGGGATTTGAACCAGCAACCCTTTGGTTCCCAGGCTTGCACTCAGTCCACTGAGCTATACTAGCTAGGGCCATACCTTTTTCACAGATGGTCTCTCTTATATGCTGCAGAGGCTAGAAAGGGAAAGCTTAAGGACAGATACAAAAAAATGCAACAAATGCAATTTTGGTTTAAAATTGAATTAGAGAAAAACCCCAACCTTGGAGGACTGCTTATTTTGTACACAAATGTGCAGATAGGGCCTGGCCAGGTGGCTTAGTGAGTTGGAGCATTGTTCTGTGCACCGAAAAGTTGTGAGTTCTATCCCCAGTCAGGGCACATCCCTAGGTTAAGGGTCCCTAGTCAGGGCATGTACAGGAAGCAACTGCCCTATGTTTCTCTCTCACACTGATGTCTTTTTCTTTCTCTCTCTCTCTCCCCTCCTTCCTTCCTCTTTCTTTAAAATCAATTTTAAAAAATACACAAAGATGGCTGTAATTGTGTAGGTTTCAGTTAATTGAGTAGCTCTCTAGATAGTTTATCCTATGTATTGGTATCCAGCTGTTTCAGAAATCTGTTGTTTCAAAGTCACAATCTGAAATGCTTTGGTGCGTGTACTTATCTCCAGTGCTAGAGGCTCAGCAAATCATTTAAGCCTTTCTCATTCTTCCCCTCCTATCATAGTGCTATTCACGTGTTACTTGGTGACTCCCACCTTTGTCCCCCTGCAGGCTCTGATGTTTAAAGTCTCTGGTGAGTTAAACTATGTGAACGAACCTTGTTTCTTAGGACAGTTCAGCTTCTGGTCTTTCAACAGCTAGAGCAATGGTTCTCAACCCTGTTTGCAACTTTTGCGCTTACCTGGGGTATTTTTAAAACATACTGGTGGTGGCCCTGGCTGGGTAGTTCATTTGGTTAGAGCGTTATCCGGATATGCCAAGGTTGCAGGTTCAGTCCCCATTAGGGCACATACAAGAGTCAACCAATGAATGCAACAGGAAATGAGTGTTTCTGTCTCTCTCCCTCCCTGCTATAATACTCCTTCCCCATTCTTCCCCTTCTTTCCCTTCTCCTCTCTCTTTAAAATCAATAAATTTAAAAAACTTTTTGAAAAAAAGAAAGGCTTGAACACAGTGTGATTTATTTAAACCATTGTACTTGAGACCATGTTCTGGCCAGTACCTGATTGTTCTTGAATAGCTGTGCTATTTTCATCCTTTTCTGTAGTCATCTTGTGAACAGACCTGGCTCAGGGCTGTAGTCTAATTCCTACCACTAGGTGTCACCAGGAAGTGATGAATGGGTAAACACAGAAGGATCCTAGGATAAAATGTGATGGGAAAAAACGTGAGAGCTTATTTTTCAGATACAAACGGCCCTGAAGGAGGCAAGTTAGTGCAGAGGATCTAGTGGACAGCTACAATATATCCTGGCAGTTTGCCCCAGCTTTCCCCTGTTTTCTCTAGCCGTGGGCTGCTCCTGTAACCTTCTTTATTTATTTAACCTTATTTTTGCCCTTGACATCTTTCTGAAATATCTGTACCTTGGCATTAGGTGGCCTTCTGTGTCATATTACTTTTCCCAAAATTTTTTTCCTATGTATAATCAATTCTCATATAAAATTGTTTTCAAATAAGTTCTCCTGACCTCTATCCCCCCCACTCTGTATTTTTCCACGCGTTGTCAGCAGAACCGATCACTCCTCATAGCTCCTCAGGCTGAATTTGAATAGAATGGTTGGGAGAAATTGAGTCAGATAAGCCAGGATAGGCCCACAACAGTGGGTTAAAGCCAGTCTTTCCATAAATCTCTCTCTCTCTCTCTCTCTCTCTATATATATATGTATATCTATGCTCAGCTTTTTCTACCTCTCCCCACTCTCGCCAAATGATATAAACCAGAAATAAGGGCCCAATACCAAAACAGAGCTGAGCTCCAATCTCTACTCCCCTTTATCCTCTGTGCCTTGTGGTCAAGCCCCCATTCCTTGTATTTGGGTTGACCAGGTAATTTTTGTAGCTAAAAGTAGGTAGATACAGTTACCAACATAAACATATGTCTTAGTAACACTTCAGCTGTGAGCTTCATCTCTGGTAAGTCCTAAAGGTAAGTCTTTGATCTGGGTTAAAACCACCACTTGTTTCTTTAGACTCTAAATTCTGCATTTGTTTCATGTGTTTTAGAGCCCATCATCCCCATTCAGCATCTCTGAGCTAACCCAGCTTTACACACTGTTCCATTGCGTTTATAGGTGGTGCTGTGTAGCTCACACTTGCATAGATGTACCCTCGTGTTTTTCTTTCCAAAGCTGCTAAAAGTTGTTTTCATATCTTTCAATTTTGTATTTGGTATATTTACCTTGAAAGATGCTGAGCATAGAATTGATTATTGATAAATTAGTAGAGAACACTTATATAATGCTTACTATGTGCCAAGTACTTTTCTAAGTACGTTACTAAGTACATATGTAATTTTGTTAAATCCACACAAGCACCATGAAGGAGAGACTATTATTATTTTCTGTTTTAGAGATGTGGTAACTGGGGCATAGAGAGGTTAAGAAACTTGCCCATAGTCACTCATCTATTAAGTGATGGAGCCAGATTACACTCAGGCAGTCTGACTCCAAGCTCCATGCTCTTAACCTCTAAACTACCATTTAGTTCAAACCATAAGGTAAATATTCATCAAACATTTATTGTATGTGAGCCACTGTATTGTTTTTACATGTTTTTTCTCATTTATTACTCACAGGAATCATAGAGGTAGGGACTATACAATCCCTGTTTTACAGACAGAAGTGAAACACAGAGAGGGTGAATAATTGCTGATGGCCATGCAACAATAAGCCCAAGGTGGTGAGTGCAGCAGGTTAAGAACCCAGGTCTGTCTGAGTCCAGAGCTCCATCTCCTAACCACTATGTCCTGCTGCCCATGGACCTCTGCTGTGAACTGGGTCAGGTCCCATCTGCAGTTTGACCCCAGGGACAGTATTGGTACTCTCTTTTTTGGTTTATGTGTATTGGAAAGCACTCTGCTCATTCACCAGTGTGCTCAGGGGCACATCCAGAAACAGTGTTTGCTTGGCTTTTCTGGTTGTGCCTACCTTTGGACCTCATCGTCAGATGCCACTTTCTTTACTAACAGTAGTGTTTTTCAGTCCTGGGCCATTGCTTCCAGTTTAGGTCAATAGGAGCTATTAAATTTCTGTTTCTTTCAATGCTGCTGCATTTAATTGAGTAATTCATCCACCAGTAATAAGGTGATTCCTGCCTGTTATATAGGCAGTTCTCTGTGGAGGCATGAATGTGAAATATAGGTAAAAGGCCAAAATGCTGTTTGAAGAATGCTGTTTCTAAAGATGGTGGTTTATGAACCTTTCTTTTCTATTTGTTCTCAAGGGTTTTCCTTTTGAAAAGGCAGAAGGTTTTGCAGCAGCAGGGGAAATATTCCATTAAGAGGAGGAAAATCATGAAGCTTACTTCGTTTTTCTTTCCCTTTTCCCAGAGTCTGAATGGTGTTTGGCTGAACAAAATACGTCTACAACCTTTAGAGGTCTATTCTATCCATAAGGGAGACCACATCCAGCTTGGGGTGGCTCTGGAAAATAAGGAGAATGCAGAGTATGAATATGAAGTTACTGAAGAAGACTGGGAGAAGATACATCCTTATCTGTCCCCAACAAGTGACCAGTTGATGGAAAAAAATAAGGGCTCAAGAACTAAAAGGAAATGTAGTTTGGATGAATTAGAAGCTCCTGAAGCTGAAGGCCCCTCACATTTGAAATCCAAAATGAACAGAACGTCTTGTGAACCTGGTCAACCACTGAAGTCACATGGGAAAGGTGAAATGGCCAGTCAACCCTCTGAATTCCTGGAACCTAAGTTGACTTCTCTTGAGCCAAGTGAGCACACCACAGGGCCTCACGTTCACTTGGGCCCCGCCAAAGTCCTGGAGCTTCAGCATGAGGAGCAGAGAGCCTCAGACCCATTAGTATCTCAGAGCAGGTTAGAGCTGATCAAGGTGACCATGTCTAGGATTCTGAAGCTCAAAACACAGATGCAGGAAAAACAGGAAGCTGTTCTGAATGAGAAAAAGCAGACCCAAAAAGGGGACTCAAAAAATATTGTGCAAATGGAGCAGGAATTGCAGGACTTACAGTCACAGCTCTGGGCAGAGCAGGCCCAGCAGCAGGCCCGAGTGGAGCAGTTGGAGAAGACTTTTCAGGAGGAGCAGCAGTATCTCCAGGTATTGCGGGGGGGGGGGGGGGGGGGAGGACAGGAGGGCCACTAGGGTGGGCGGGCCCTTTGTGAGCCTCTGGCCAAGGCTGTTTCTGGGTCAGGGACCAAATGCTGAGTGCCAGGGATGGGAGATGGAATGGGAACAGAAAACTTTGAAGTAAGAGAAGGGGTTAAATCAAAGGTTAAGCTTCAGCATGATGATCAGATCAAGAACCAAATTTGGAATACCAAGATGGGGTAAGGTGACAGGTAGTGCCAGCCCCAGGATGTAACTAATCTCAGGATGTAAAGTTGAGGCATCTCAGGACTGAGGTAAATTCAGTGAGAGGTTGGATGAAGGTCAAGATGCCGCAGAACCACAACACTCCATTTAAATCAGTAGTTCCCCTCTGAGTTACTTTTCTTTGCTCTGTGGTCCAAGTCAAATCACTTGGCCCCAGGGCAGGTACAGGTTAGCTAGTTACTCTGTCCTTGGTGTGCCTGGCAACTTGTTAGCTCTGTAGCTAACCTAGGAAGTGGGAGGCTACAAAGACAGAAAATGCTTCTCTTTTTATCCTGAGCAGCCAGCATGGGAGGGAACAGGTACACCATGACTTAATCATTGGGTTAAATTATAAGCCACCTTCCATGGTACCTCTAGTGGGAACGTTCAATAAGGACTCTCTTAGCTGTGTCAAGATAAGGCCAAATGTGTCCCCATCCCTGAGTCATTTCCATAGATGACAAGCTGTTGCACAAAGTTCCAGTCTGATCCTGGTCCTCGCTTAAAATGTCAGTTCCCATTTGGCAAGAGCCACATGTTTTTCTCCTACCTACTTGCTCAGGCAATATTGAATGTTAAGAATTCCCCATTGTTGACTTAGAACAATGATTTTCAACCCTTTTTATCTCATGGCACTCATAAACTAATGACTAAAATTCTGTGGCACACCAAAAAAATTTTTTTTGCCAATCTGACAAAAAAAAATAGGTATAATTTTGATTCATTCACACTAGATGGCTATTTTTGTGGTGGCTGTTACCATATTTTTTACTGGACAGTCTAAGGGAGAAGAGGTCAGTGCCCCTGACTAAATAGGCAGGTGTTGTTTGTTCTATAAATTTTTGCACCTCAACAGTGGGCCAGGGCTCACCGGTTGAAAATTGCTGACTTAGAACTCAAATGGGCCAATTAGGATCGAAGTGAATAAGCTTTTATCTTTTGTTTACTTTATTCAGGGTAATGAACAACCAGTAGTGTTTGCTTATTTCTGAACAATTTATAAATTTCATGAATTAAATAGACCTTTCTAAGGGGATACACTGCTTATGTGTACATTTTTGTGTCCCTTATCTAGCCAGGGCCAGTCCTTGAAATTAATACAGGGAGGTTATCTATGCATTTGTGTTGCATGCCACCTCTCCTGGAGCAGTTAGCATCTGATGTGTTCAAGGACAAGAGTTACTGTTAATTAATATTTGTGGCTGCTCTGGGCATGCTTCAAAGTATAGCTGTAAAATCTTTTCCCTTACCTAAATGGTAAAGAAAGGCAGAAAAGACTGGTTTAGAAAGTTTCTCCAGGTATGAGAGGGACATTTATAAGTGGCTCATAGTATCCAGTCCTTTATTTATTTCCCTCTGCCACCCTGGATTTCCCTCTGCCACCAAGCCCCAGGGATTCATCCTGTCCCGAGGACTTGTTCAGAAGCGCAGTTAACCCTTGGTGCTTCACACAGGTCTTTTTTTTTTTTTAGCACACGTTGCCTGATACTATACTTGGGTTCAGTGGTTATAAAGATGCTTAATAAATGTGTTATACCCACAAAGTCATCATAGCAGTTTTAAGTCAATATATTTAAATTAGAGAACAATTTCAAGTTGACATACTCATATTAAATGGGTAGATAATTCTTCAAGTGAGGAGGGGAGGGCCCAGAGCTTCTTACTGGATGCAGGGTAATGATTATGTGGAAGGCGTCATGTTGGAGGGAGCTGATGGAGGAAACACAGCCTGAGCTCAGGCAAGGTGGGAGGAGGAGCAGTTAATGGGTTGAAGGTGGTAGAGAGACTCAGCATGAGGGACAAAGGGGGCCAGAATCAAGGGAAGAAGCATGGAGGAGCTCGTGCGTGCCAGCCTGGGGGATTTTACCTATGTTTAGGTAGCTGGTTGCTCAGAACCTTTCAGCTTGCCTTGTTTTGGAAGTAACAGCATTTGCAGTAAAGGGTTGTTAGCCGAGTTTCTCCAGAACAACCTGAGTGGTGGCTTAAAAGTGACAGCCCTGAGGTGAGCAGTATTTGAGCAGTTAACTCTGCTTTCATCCCTCCTGCCAACAGCTTGGAATAAAATGAGAAATTTTCTTCCTGCTTCCTGCCCCCTGTTGTTTCCAGATGCTCATGTTAGCTGGCCTACTCTGCTTGTTGCTGGATTTTTGTTTCTTTTTTCCCCTGCCGACTGGGAAACCTTCCATTTTGTTTTTGGCTTTGTAGGGTTTGGAGAAAGAGCAAGGAGAAGAGAACCTGAAGCAGCAGCTGGCCCAGGCTCTGCAGGAGGTAACTTATCTCTTGCCATTGTGGGCTGTGGGGGAGGGGGCAGCCAGGCTTTGCATGGCCTCTGGCCGCCTCTTCTGCTTAGTGCACACCTCTGCAGTATCTCCAGGCTGCAGATAGAGCAGGTGGCAGCTGCTCACACCATCAGGGCGGAGGTTGGAGCCTCACAGACGTGCCAGACCTCAGCATGAAAACTTACATCTTCATCTGAGCAGAAGCTGCTCTAGTGAAAATGGAATGGAGCCTGTAGCAATTAGGAAGCTCTCTGGGGAAGTGTCTGCATTTCCAGAAAGGTGAGGGCAGCAGAGGGGAATTGCCAGCTGTGACTTGGTCACCACCAAGGCCTGCATGGGCCTCCACTCCCTCACGGATCCTGTGCTGAAGCCATCCAAAAACCATTTGAGAATGTTCCAACTAAGCATTTTAGGTCAGGTCGAGGCAGTTCAACAGTCAGCAGAACACTGATTTACTGCAAGGGCAGGGCTCACAGGAATAAAATTCTCCTAAAAGATAGCCTGTCATTTATTTCATTTAACTTGATTACTTCTCTCATCTGATTATTTTTATATACTTTTTTGCGTATTTAAAACCTACTTTATCTTTTCTCTTTTATGCGTTAAAATTAGTAATTTGATGCAAGTTTAGTCAGGTTAGTGGTGTAGTTCATATCTCCTTGAAAAAAAAATGAACTCTTGCATTAGAATTTGTTTAGGGTAATTTGTCCTTGTAATTCTTCTGTTGCATACCTCCCTCCCAGCCTTCTACAGAGCTGACAGTCACATGGTCGTAAAAGCTTGGGGGGTGCCTGCCTTGATTTCCTTGAGGGGTACACAAACAGCTTTGGAAAGAACTAGGTGAAAATTAATTCAGTCTTTTTGGAATTGTATTTTCTAAGTTTGTTTATTTCCTAGGGTGGGAGAGTAGGCATGTTTCCCATTTAGAGTATTATTAAATTAATATTCAGAGAATGTTTTGAAATTGACTGGGAAAGAGTAAGGTTCTGCTACTTAGAAATCACTGAGGGCTCACCGAGTTTTCTGCACCCACAACTCCTCACCCTCCCCTGAGACAGATGGGAAGATACACTGTCATTTAACATGAGGTGCTCAGCCAGGCTTCATTCACTATCCCAAAATGGGGTACTCCCGGGTCATGGTTCTGGAACGACATGCCCGGGGATGTACTACTTCCTCGGCTGAAACATGGCTGTGTGTCGGTCTGCCTCCCCAGTCCCTCTGAAGCTGCTCGTTTTCACTTACCAGGCCATTATAACAACCTGCGTTTACCTGGAGCTTAAAAACTTTTCCGAATGCTTTCATATGTTATTTTATTTGTGATTAACTCTGATGTGGGAGGGGCCCCTGTTTCCCCATTTTGTAGACACACATCTAAGTAGCAGTCAAGATGAATGAGTACCCAGGCCTTCTGATGTAAGTGCTTTTCTCAGGAGACCACATATTTCAAAATTGGTTTCTTCAGTAATCTCTTCAGAAATACTTACCTTTACTCTACCTTCTTTAGGAAAAGGATTTGAGATGAGATTTAAAGTATAAGCTGTACTTAAGCATGAGGCAGCTCAGAAATTATGTTTCATGGAAGCGGAACCTCTTGACGTTCGGGTAGGCAGTTCGGCACAGCGGAGGAGCTGCCAGCTCTCGGGCATGCCTGGTTGCAGAACACACAGGCGGGGTGTGGGCAGCATTGCCTTGAGAGCGTAATAGTGTGTGATTTGTAGACTAAATAGGTTAAAGGTCTCTTATTTCAATGAAAATGGTTATCTAGTTTCCCTGGATCTCATTTCTCCTGGGTTATTTCTTAAAAGCCACTCCTAGTGCTGGGTAGCCTCAGAGTTACTAGTTGCATTGAGCATTGAATTTTAGAATCACTTGGACAGCTTTTTAAAAAAATACACACTCCTAGGCTCCAAGGGAAACCTACAGAATCAGACCCTCAGGATGGCAGTTGTTCCGTCAATTTGCGTGGCCATGAAGGTTGGGTTATTTCCTGTGGGATTATAGATTTGATGGCCTCCCTCCTGGTTTGTCCCCTTCCCTGAAAAAAAAAAAAGGTATCAGGTGAGTGAGATGTCCTAAAGGAACAGAGGCTTTTTTCTTTTAAATTGCTGGTCCATTGATCCTGTTGAACTAATGCCACCAATAGAGGGAGGGGCGGAGCAGGCATGTGCAGCTTAAAAGGAAGATGCAGTGTAGCTCGTCTTGAGTGTGTATCTGCTATGTTCCTGCAGCACTGGGCTCTAATGGAAGAGCTAAATCGCAGCAAGAAGGACTTTGAAGCCATCCTTCAAGCCAAGAACAGAGAATTGGAGCAGACCAAGGTATAGCAAGAAGATGAAGGTTTAGAATTTGGTTAGTACATGCAACTCAGCATTTTCAACAGTGCAAGGGTTGCTATGGTGAATGGAGAGAGAGAGAAAATATGTCTGTTCCTGGCCTCAGGGGAAATAATCCATCAAATTACTCAGGCCTATGGAAGGCTCTGCCTGAAGACAACATCTGTTTCCTTCCCTCATTCAGAAGCAAAATGCTAGGGAGAAGACACTCATCCTGCAGTCCAGTCCCTCGTCTGTGCTAGATGCTTCTCCAGCGCATCCCTCTGACGCTGGGCTATGGAGCGGTATAGTCAGAATAAACAATAGTGTGTCCTCATGCCTTTAAGTAATTATTTCCCCACATCAAATCAGTGGAATTCTTAAATTAGGGCTATAAACTCAAATGCCCAGTGAGGTCAGACTGGTAATGGAATTGAGCAAAGTGTCCTGTGGGGACAGAGGTGCACAGGAAGGAGATCTTTGCCCCCAGCCTCCACCCCTGCTTTGCTGCAGCCAGTTGTTGCCATGCAGAAATGCAGGCCTGGTGGCGTCAGATATTCCGAACTTTCCACAGAAGATGGAAATCCAAATGTTTACATAAAGCATCCCAATTTTCAAATATTAGCAACAAGTTCAGTTTTTTGTTTGATCTTTCAATACCATAAAGGCTGAACTAAACAAGTCTGTAGGCTGGCCAGTCCACAGGTCATCAGTTTATAACCTCTGACCTGAAATTAATGCCTGGTCTGACTGCCTCTCTGCTCACCCCTCCTCACATACCGACCTGGAGCAGAGCACAGAAAGGAGGAGGCTCTCTTTCCCATTGGTTCGATATCCTTATATTCTGTTTAAATCACCTAGTACCTTCTTTCCCATCCTCCAAGAAACTACCATTTTTTTAAAACCGGCAATCCATAAGTTTTCAGGGAACTTGGCTGCAGTTAGAAATGGATTCGGACCTTCCTCACTGCCATAAGCAGTCTGACAGTCTTTGCTCTGATTGGAAGAGAAAATAAAAGATGAAAAATACATCAACTGTATACCCTGAGTGTCATTTCCTCTCTCCCTCAGGGGCTCCTGATAACTTTCTTTTTGGGGTCATAAGGTGCTAACTTAAATCAATGTCTGCTTCAAGAGAACACACCTAAGATGGTCCCTAAAAAGGCCGTCTGCAAGCAGTCTGGTCCCTGTGCTTGGGGAAAGCACAGGGAAGTGGTACTGCAGATGTCTGCAGGAGTGGGGAGTGGCAAGCGTAGAGCCCAGGGCCTGAAGATACTGGAGGCCACCATTCTAGCCTCCAGCCTCTGGCCTCCAGAGAGTATAGGGACTCGCTATTTTATAGAAGAGGCAGCTACAAAGAGCACAAGGGACTTTATAGAGTAATTCAAGTTTCCTGCCTCTATGGGATATTCTTTATGACTTTTTTGTCCAGTGAGTTCTTGGTTTGGGGGATGATTTTATATCACCTCTAAACTGCAGCTCACTGTGGGATACTTAATGTCTCATTCTAGAAGGTCTTGGGTGGTTGGTGTGGTTAGTATGCTACCTTCAGTTTTTCCCATTTAGTTAATTTTGGGAAGGAGGCAAACATGACAGTACAAATACTGAAAAAGCAGAGAGAGGAAAGAAAGGAAGACAGTGCCCTACATTAGAAAGCAGTTCTGAGAAATAGCACCCCTTGGGGAAAGTGCTTTATTTCTGTGTTCCTCCGCCAGGATGAATTTTTAATTTAGACTCCTTCTGAATTGTATTCCAGAGGATTAATCCTACTCCCTGTCCTGTTTTACATTCTTGTGGGTTCTCCTAATGACAGCAGGAGTTTTGTGTCTTTGCAGGAAGAAAAGGAGAAGGTACAAGCACAGAAAGAAGAAGTTCTTAGCCACATGAATGACGTGCTAGAGAATGAGCTCCAGTGCATTATTTGCTCAGAATACTTCATTGAGGTAATTATGAACGTTAGGAACAGTGAGTGGCTCTCGGGAGCCTCATCACTGTCCCAATCCTGAATGGAGCCTCAGCTACTCAGGCTGCTTCCGCTATAGGGGAACGTTCTGAAGAGCTTTTCTTGCAGGAACTTCTCGTAGCTATTTGACTACAAAATAACCTCTAGAGGTGGCCACTTCTCACTTGTTTTTGTATAGTCTTTAACTTTACTGTCCTTTTTCTTATTTCATTTGTTCTTATTTATTTGATATAATTAATATTTTAAGCTGCAGTAAAGCCTTTATCTCTGTTTTGTTGGGGAGGACACAGGGCCACATGGCATTAGATTTTTGAAGTATCGGAGTAAAGCTGCTCAGTAAAGCTACACTTTCCTTACTCTGAATGGGCATGGTGCTGAGGGGGTGTGCAGTGCAGCCTTTGAAGAGGGCGGTAAATGCCATTGCGGGGTGTCAGGAATTCGGCACACAAGTGGAACACGTCTCAGGGACTCAGGGTTCCCTATGAAAATGAAACCTCTCTCCTAGGTTACCATCGGTTATCCTGTCATATTTTTACATGGGCTCTTATTTTTAAAAATTTTACCATTTGTGACCAGTTCATCTTATACCACAAGTTTAAATTCAAGTTGTAAAGTGACATTGTTTGTCAGATTCCTTTACAAAGGAAGATGCGTACAGACACTGCTCCCTTTTTTCTGGTGGTCTTTAGGAGGCTGAGTCTGTTAGCCTGCCGGAACAGCTCTCCTGAGCAGACCTGTTTTTTTGCTCTGGGTCTACTTAAACTTCAGGTCATGAATTTCTCCCATAATTTCTATTCACTTGATTCCCTACTTAGGAGAAGCTCAGTTAGTGTTGTTTTGATAAGGTGCACAGACCATACTAGAGGAACATAAGGAGAGGGCTTGGAACTGGTGCTGAGTTGGCCAGCTGGGAGCATCTGCCCAGACAGTCGAGGCAGACAGGCTGACCTGTGCTTTGTTTGATTTACTGCACACCACCTGACCTTTCCTCCTGGTCACCTCCTAAAGTGAGGGCTGGAAAAAAGTTTCATTTTAATGAGACAGGTTTTTAGTCCTGTTGATAAGAATTTACCTCCTATAGTAAACAGAATGTCTCCTAGTTGACTTTCTGGGCTCACCTTGGCATTTGGGAAATAAATGATTTCTGTGTTATTTTCAACTGCCCTCCTAAAAGCAGGAATGAAGACTTTTGAGCCTCGGATAACATTGTATCTTAGGGGGTGTACATAAACAAGAGTAGTGAAGACAATGGTTTATATCGTTGGGAGTGAAAAGCACGCTGGCAGAATTCCGGTTTACTCAGAAGAGCCCCTCAAACAACATGGCTCCTTTTGCTTTCTCTCTTCTTGGAGGATTATTTACTCAGGGGTTCAGCCAGTGTCAGCGAACCCATTGCATTTTTTCCATTTCTCTTCTTTCTTCCCCAGCCTTTTTAGTTGCCTTTTAGATTTATTTTACTTTTTTGGTTTCTTCTGAAAAGAGATGATGTCTCCCACCATACCATATACTGAGTTTTCAATGTGTGTTCCCCTTTGTATATAAAAATTGAGGTTCTAATTCACCACTAACAACACATACATTTGTTTTTCATAAGAGAGTTAGTGAGGTATTTGCACCAAACAGTCACATGCTTACTAGTCCTACCTACGTCCAAAGGCATTTGTTCACAAGGTAGCTAACCTGTGTTGGCAGTAGCCTGAGTTGGTGGAACAGAACAGACAAGTCCGCCTACCTGGGGCCTGCGTTTATGAACTCTGAGAAAGATGATAAATCATCTAACTTGAAGCTTAAAATTTCCCACTCCCAAGGATGACTCTGGTACCTTTGTAAGCTCTCTAGGTACAGTGGTGGTTAAATGTCCACTTGGCCCTGCCTAGCTTTGAGATCACTTACCACCCTGTGGAAGTAAGTGTGACGTTCTGATGTGTGTGTGTTCACATTCATGTTGCAGGCTGTCACCTTGAACTGTGCCCACAGTTTTTGTTCCTTCTGTATCAACGAATGGATGAAGCGGAAGGTCGAATGTCCCATTTGTCGGAAGGACATCAAGTCCAAAACCCCCTCCCTGGTTCTGGACAACTGCATTAGTAAGATGGTAGATAATCTGAGTTCAGAAGTAAGAGAACGACGAATTGACTTAATTAAGGGACGAAAAGGTGAGTGGGTATAAACAAGATGCTGAGTGCCCTCAGCGAAGTACTTACAAACTTTGGCAGATTTTTTTGGTTGGGGAAGAGAATCAGATGAAAGATTCTTAAGCTAAAGAACAAGTGGAAGAAATGGGGGAAAGTAAAAGGAGTTAAAGATAATGAATGTGTGAGCCCTGACTGGGTAACTTAGTTAGAGTGTCATCCTGACATGCCAATGTTGTGGGTTCGATCCCCAGTCAGGGCACATACAAGAAGCAACCAATGAATGCATAAGTAAGTGGAACAATAATCAGTCAAACTCTCTATCTCTCTCCCTTCTCCTCCCTCCCCCTCTCTCCCGTCCTCTCTCTCTCTCTCTCTGAAATAAAATAAAATGAAAAAACAGTGAATGTGTGAGAAAGAGTTGAAGTAGAATTAACTAAGTTGCTGGAGCAGCAGGAAAAGAGGGAGGCTTAAGTGCAAGTGCCTCGGTTACTGGGGTGAAAAGAAAGATGTGATTAGAACACACAGACAGTTTGCTGTACTGGTGACTAGATGGGGCTGTTATTCAGGACAGTTTAGTTGCTGTCCAGGTGTTGCAGACCATTTGGGGTGGGTATACAGTCAGTTGTAAACTGGATGCATACAAGTCAGAGATTCACAACTGAATGCCTGAAGAAAAGACATGCATAAGTTCTCTCTATAAGAGTTACAGCTTAATTATGCAAATTGGGTATAACGTTAAACCAAAGAGATAAATTTAATCCTACTGTGTTATCACTGGGGACCCTAATATATTTACCCACAAGTTTCCCAGTTGGAAGGGAATTTGAGTAGAGATTGGGGTAGGGGTGGGTGAGTTTCCCTGAGGAGCCATACTTCCATCCTGAATTTAACCAAGTGCTCTCATCGCCCCTGCAGCCTGCTGTGTTGAGGGTTGTGGAGCTACTCTGCTTAAGACTCGAATGTCCTTGTGGCAGAAGGACATGTCCTGGGGCAAACACGAGAAAGTCAGTGTGTACAAAGGATTGGGGATTGGGTGGGGTCGAGAGTGCACAGAAGTGGGTAGATTTGATTATCAACGTTAAGCCCTTTTGATAGTGTAGTATAGCGTTACCTGCTAAGAAGCTTCAGATCCAAAGTGCTGTGGCAGCCATGAGTGCATGTAAAGATCTGCCATCGAAGAACCAGAAGCTTGCTGCCTTTACAGGTGTTCCCCACCACCTGGCTGTTGGTAGTATGTATCTTTGGGTGTATCTTTCCCTAATTTCAGAGAAGCTGAAGGCTTAAAAGCCACACTGCTAATAGGATCTTCAGTCCACTGCTTCCTTTCTCCTAGCCCTTCAGCAGATAGCAGCCACTTCGAGTAGTGGGGCCAGGAATCTGATGCTGATTTGTGAGTGGCTGTGGTTTGAAACGGGCCCTCGGTGGGTGAGCCAGGGCAGAGGCAGCAGGCCTGTCCAGAGCCGGTGGTGCAGTGCTGAACAGGGAGTGTGCTTGAGCTGTTTATACTCAAGGAAGACATTCTGACCTGTAGGAGGGTGCACTGGCCCTCAGGTAGTTCTTTAGAACCAAAGTATTTTACATTTTTTTTTCCACAACTATGTGCTGTTGGGTTTTATGACAGGTCTTAAGCCCCCAGAGACTTTACCTCCCAGGAGCCACTTGATTCTGGCAGAATCCCATTGCTCTTCCTCTCTACCTCCCATCACTCCATAAGCTCTTATAGGGACACTGCTACGAACTGGGACAAGGTGGTAAATAAGGCCCTGTCTCAGCGCTTATAGCACTCCCTGTCTATGGAGGAGACAGACAGGGAAGTAGGTGGTGTGACAAGTTCCACAACAGGGCTCTAGGAAACTGCCGAGAAGGGGACACTCAATTTGGCCTGGGCAGGTGGAGGTATGCTCTGGCAGTTCACAGAAGAAGTGCCTTTTGAAGTGAGTCAAAGCTTCCCTAAGGGGTAGCTTTCCAAGCAGAGGAATAGGCACAAGCGGAGCACAGAGGTGTGAGCAGCAGTGACTTGTTCGTAGCAGTGCCCCCTTGTGGTCCAGTCAGAGCGTCTGCATGGTGCCGGAGCAGCGTGAGGATGGCCAAAGCTTAGGGAGTGTCTGCGGAGGCTCTGTGAATGCCTTCCATTTCTTTCCTCTTTCCTTTCTGAGAGGATCAGGGGCCTGGGAACCCAGCTATGACCAAGGTCAGCCTTTGAGCAGAAGTGTGCTGGGACTCTGTGGGCGTGGGGGCACCAAGAATTTTCTTCACCCACCACATTGGCGAGGTTTCTTCTCACAAGACCAAGGTCAGTAGGTGGTTTCATTCAGCGTTGGAAAGGGAAACAGTATCAAACTCCTTTTTCTCTCCAAAGGCTAGAGAGGATGTCTCTGCCTATTCATAACACTAGGAGTCTGCACAGTCGGCCAAATCAGTCTGCCTGTTGCAGTACTTGGCTTAGACTGTTCTGGCACCAGCTGTAGTTTCTGTACTTATCACAGTGAGTGCAGCTTTTAGGTTTTTCTCTAGAGACAGACGGAAGGTTCTGTGGCCCGATCTAGGGAGGCCTGTGCCAGAGCCATCAGCAGCTTCACTGGTCTGCAGTGTGGGGTTTGAGAAAACTCTCAGTTCAAAGATCAGCCTTCCTTGCCAATTGAAAGCTGGTTTAATCTTCAGTGTATCCCCACCAAGTTTTAAAAAGGACCAGACTTAGGATCTGGGCGCTAGGATTGGCAGGCCTGTAGTCGTCATTCTGAAGCTGTGGCTGGGTGTGTTCCTCCCGGCAGGGTTGCTCGGAGCATGTGTGCGGAGAGGGAGGCCTGCTGGTTTATGGCCCCGGGGGCTCTGACCCCACCGAGAGCAGCCCTAGCTAGGCTTCCCTGGCTGCTGGCGGTGTCTTCAAGTTCCATGGCCCGTGGGAGGCATGATAATTCCTCGTAAACTCTGGGAGGCCAGATTACAGAGAAGAGGAGAATGTTAGGATGCCAGATCCTGTCCGGGTTGAAGAAAGGGTGCCCTGGCGCTGGGGCAGATAAGAAACACCCAGGAAGTGCTTGTCGCATGAGTAATTGTAATTCTCTGGGATACTGACGGGAGATCTTTCCTGAGGGAAGACATTCATCCCCTGGGGACCCTCTCCCTCTGGGGCCGGTGAGGTGGTCTGTCCACGGCTTCGCCTCCCCCATGTGTTCTGTTCTCATTAAATGCTGGTTGGTTGACAAGAGTGTTAACATTCTCACTTTAGCTTTCCCTAGCAATTTCTCTGGGTTGTGCTCAGAAAAGAAGAAAACAAATGATCTAGAAATAAAGTCTTGTTGGTACTTCATAGCAGTGATTTCCAGTCCATGGGCTTCTTCAAACTGCACTCCCCAACTCCCTTGATACTCTGCTAGTGAGTCCGGACTCCCAGTCGGAGTGTGCGGAGGTGGGAGCAAGGTGCACGAATCACAGCTGCCCTGAGTCTGTGAGACACGCCCCTCCAGCGGTCGGGGGTCCCTAGGAAGATGGGCTCAGGCCAGACCACACAGCCTGTAGTTCTGGCCCGCTTCCCGTAGGCTCTCAGGAGGGCGATCCAGGCATGGGACACAAGAAACGGCAGTGTCTGAAGAGTGTATCTGCCCACCTGGAAGGCTGTCCCTGGTGTCGCCATCGTCCCTTGCTGAAAGACAGAGCTGAGGAAAGGAGTGTGTGGGGCGTAGCAGCAGTGACAGTGCTGACAGGTCGAGCTCACCCAGAGAGAATACTATTGGCAAGTACTTTTAGCCCCCGAAGGAATCGAGAGGGTCGAGTGCGTGCAGTCAGCCTGGCACAGGACAATGTTTGTCTAAGGGACAACAGCTCTTGACAAGGGTAGCAGGGTCGGGCAGTCCTTGTGCGTGCACACAAACAGTGTACGACACCGCACTCGCTACAAATTCTGGCTCTTAAAAATTTACCCTTCGCAAAACTGTCATGGGGTAGAAAACTAGCAGACTTGTTACTAGAAGCTTTTTTCTTAATAGTCCAAAACTACCCTCTGTGTTTGCCCCGTTTTTCCTTCCCTTCTCTTCTTTTGTCTCCTATTTTTCTTCCCTTCCTTGTCCCTTGAGTGGTGTCTCCCTCTCCGCCCTGATTGGCATCACAGAACGCACAGGAATGGAGTGACTGCGGCCTTGGACGTCGGCTTCTAAGATATTAATTGGAACTCCTGGAGGAGCCACCCAGGAAGTCCTAGAACTTTGAATTTGTTTCTTTTTCTTTCTTTCTTTCTTTTTTTTGCTTTCTAAATTTTTAATTTTTAAAAATATTGTTTATGCTATTACAGTTGTCCCAATTTTTCCTCCTGTGCTACCCTCTATCCAGTGCCTCCCCACTGCCTCAGACAGTTCCCACACCATTGTCCACATCTGTGGGTCACGCATATGTGTAGAACCTCGCATTTCTTGTTGACTCTCTAGCCCTTGACCTTTCTGAATGGTCCTGTTCTGACTAATGCTCTGTGGTGGAGTGTCTTTTCCCCTTCGCCAAAAGCTGCCACCACACCACAGCACCAGTCAGGCTTTTGCATCTTAGGAGACTGGCCTTTCTTCAATAAAGACCCTTTAGTGCACCCCGAGTGCACCCAGGGCTGGGTTTGAGGGGGCCATGCCATCCATGCCAGTGAGAGGCCCAGGGCTGACCTTTGCTGACCTGCCTGTGGAGTCCGGAACTCTGGCGAGCGCTAAGCCCACCCCACCAACATTGTACTAAGGGCAAGACCAGTACTTGCCCAGGCTGCCCTGCCAGCTGGAGAGGGCCGGGAGGCGCAGGAGCACACGCTAGAGCCGCAGCACAAGTAGGTGTGAGCAGCTGGTCTCCAGGGGCCCAGCAGAGGGACTTCAGAACTTCAGATCCCTTGTTGCTGTTCTCCACAGAAGTTTCTCCTGACTTTTTTGTTTTTGTTTTTTGTAATGATAAAACAGAGTTACCCCCAAATGTGGGTGCGTATTATACACAGCAAAATACGGTACCTCCAGAACCTTCTTACTGTAGAAGACCACTTGTATAAGTATAGGACAGTGTCTGTAACCAAAGTGGCTTTCCTTTGAGAGTTCCTTGGTTCCTGCACTTAGCACTAGATGTACACTGGGTATATTTGAAGCAAACTCAAACTAGTTGGTGTTCTAGATTTCCATGAATTAGTCACAGAAATCTTTTTTTCTCTTTTTTGCCCTCCCCATAGAATTAGGCACATCACCATTGAGGCTTCTGTGCATCGGCTGGATATATACCTTGCCCAAGTGTGTGTTACTGTGGTTCTTAAGAAACCTGATAAAACTAGACACGCTCCTGTTTCTGGTTAGGGTTTCTGCTTGAACTGCTTTCTGCTTTCCTATGCTGGAGAGTTTGGACCTCTTTTACCCTTGGCCCATGAAACATGAAGCAGAACCAACCCCAAAGAAAAAACTCCTTGCTTCCTTTCCCTGGGCCTTTCTGTTTTCTCAGGACCCACTTAGCATTGGGTGCGGGGAATAAAGGTGGGTAGGGCACACGCAACCCCTGCCCTCGTGGAACTTCTGGTCTGGGTGCTGGGCATGGGAACACGCCACACTAGCAGATGAAAGGTGCCATGGAAAGGCCAATGGCAGGCAGGGGAGTGAAGGGAAGTGAAAGGGAGGTGGGTGCATAGGTAGAAAGGCCAAAAGCAAGAAAGCAGGAGGGGTTTGGGGCTGAGAAAAGCACAGAGTGACAGGTTGAAGGTGCTAGGGAATGTTTGGGCAGTGAGGCTGGAAAGCAAGCAGGACTGGGTCGTGAAGTCTTCCAGAACTGTGTGAAAGGTTTACACTGGGGGCTGTGGGAAAACTACAAGATTTTAAGTAGAGGTGTGCCTGTTTAGATTTTTCTGGGTAGGTCAGCGGGGCTGCAGTGCAGATAAACGGTGATGGGAACAAGAATAGAGGCAGCAGCCCTGGCCAGGGTAATGGCTGGGTGAGAGAAACGGCAGTGGGGAGGAGGGGGCGGGCAGACTTGAGCAGATGTTTAGGGGACAGAGTCCACAGGCTTGCGCAGCTGGTTTGCTGTGAGGAACGAGGAGCACCTTGCTGAGGATCACTCCTGGTTTCTGTCAGGCAGCCGGGCGGGTGATAGTGTGTTCACCAAAATTGGAGCAGATTGTCAGGGAGATAAGTTTGGTTTTAGACTAAAGTTGTTTAGGCTAAGGTAAGTTGAGAGCACCTGAGGGCATTTAAATATGTGGACCTGGAGCCCAGAAAACACTAGATTTGGGGATCCTCTCTGGGTGGTAAGAGCTAAGGTCAAGTCTGTGTCCCGGAGAAACACAGACACCAAAGGGACGGGGAGTGGAAGGGGAGAATTCAGGGCAGAGGGGGAGGAGAGACCGAAGAGAGATGGAGAAAGAGGGAGGTGTGGACAGGTGACAGGACATCACAGCGGTGTGCTCTGAGCCTTCCCGACCACAGCCTTGTCTGCAGTAGCCCCTTGTTACATTCTAGACACCTCCCTATCTATTGCTTTCAGATACTTAGGAGGCTGAAATTGTGTGTGTTGGTGTGTTCTTGCCCCTCAGTTTATAAACTCGAGGACAGGGGTTTTAGCTTATTGAATGCAGTATTTTCAGGGCCTGGAAGACTGTTTGGCAGGTCTCCGGTAAATGCACATTTGTGAGTGGTTATGGACAGAGGGGCTGGCAGTGCGAAATGCTGATAAGGATGAAAAACTGCCCTTTGGATGTAGCAGGTGTGTAGGACATTGATGACTTCATCTAGGACAAGTTGGGGGGTGCGTGTGGAGTCAGCAGCCAGTCTGCAGTGAATTGGAGAATGAGTAAGAGGCGAAGGAGCAGAGAAGAGTGAAAATAGGCTAGCTCTTGAGGAAGTTTGGCTACAATTGTGGGAAGCAGTAATAGAGAAGGCTGTTGTTGGGGGAGGAAGTCAGGGTAAAGCAGTTTCTCACTTTGTTTAAGTATTTTTTAAATTTATTGACTTGAGGGAGAGAAAAGGGGGAAGAGAGTGAGACTTTGATTTTTGTTGTTCCATTTAGTTACGCATTCATTGGTGGTTTCTTGTATGTGCCCTGACCGGGGATCAGACCTGCAACCTTAGCATATTAGGATGACACTCTTACCAACTGAGTGACCCGGCCAGGGCTTAGTTTTTGTTTTTTAAAGGCAGGAGAGATTACAGCACGCTCGATTGCTGATTGGAAGGAGCCTGTAGAGAAGGTGATGCTGGCAAGCCAGATCGTGGATGGGCACAGTTCCTAGAAAGGCAGGGGAGGGGAGCGAATGCAGAGAGCACAGATGGAGGAATTCATCTTCAAAAGTACGGGGATGCATCCCCAGTTTCCTAGAGGAAGAAGAATAATGTGGGAGGGTGGGAAAGGAAATCTGCTTGAGGGAGTCGAGAGAATTTCATTCCTGTGATTCCTGCATTTTTTGGTGAGCCGGCAGGTGAAGCCCTTCACTGAGAGGAAGGGAGCCGCCCTGTTCTCCCAGCTCACCAGTGCGACCGCACGCCCCGTCCCAAGGGTCCCACCTCAGCCACCTCCCAGAAGTGGGAGAAAAGTAGCTTCTGTGACCCTTTCAGTCCTCCTACCAATGAGTTCCAGACCTCAGTCTCAGGGAGCAGGACAGTTTCCTTGGTGGCTTTACTGTGCCCTTAGTGTAGCCAGGACTCCTGCCCCTCCAGGATCGAGGGAGCAGAAGCTGTCGGAAAAGACTGGAGGCCAGTAAACAGCCCCTCTGCCCCCTCCCTTTCTGGGTGTTGGAAGAACTCCCACCTTTCCGTGTCAGTCACTACGGATGCAATTTCCTCTTTCCTTCAACCTATATCTGTAGAGGGCACACTTTGTGTCAGTCATGTTAGGTGCAAGGAATAGAAAGAAAAGTGAAAATCTGATTAAAGTTTGATGTGATTGGTACTTCAGAGGAAAATAGAGCAAGAAAGGGCCAGGAGTGATGGGGAGAGCTTCGGCAGTGTTTGGGGTGGTCAAGAAAGGCATCACCAAGAAGGTAATATTTGAGTAAAGGTCTGCAGGAAGAGGCCACGCTGTATCTGGGGAGCCAGTGTCCCACACAGAGGGAATAGGAAGGGGGAGCATGCATGGGGTGTTGGGCGAACAGCAGGGACGCCAGTGCGGCTACAGGAGAGTGAGTGACCTGGAGAGGAGTAGGGGTGAGGTCAGAGGGCTGGGCAGGAGGCGGGTGTGGTGGGGCCTTCCAGGCCCTTGGAAGGACCTTGACTTCAGCTCTTACTCTGGGAGAAGTGAAGAGCAGGCTTGGAGTGGAGTGACATGATCTGACCTCTGTTTTTTCTTTGCCATGGCTACCGTGTGAGGAAGGGACTGGGGTGGCTGTGGAGAGGCTGGAGAGGGGACACGCAGGCTCTTCTTTCATTTCTCTCCTTTCTCTCCAAAGCCAAGAGACTGTTGTGAAGACGGTGCTGCAAGGGCCTTTGACAGACCGCCAGGCGACAGAAGCTCGGGTGGCCTGGAGGGTCTCCACGCACTGGCCTTGGGCTGCACCGAGACAGAGCGTGAAGAGCCGCGTGGGACAGAGTCTGAGTTCGGAAGTTCTCCAGTTCTCTGCCACGAGCCTCCTGGGCAGGCCAGCCCGCTGCCACTGTTGTCTGAAGGGCCGTGGTGCGCACCACCCGATGCGTCGGGCACGTGACAGACTCTGCCCCACTCACTACATGTCGATGGTTATGTATTTCCGTTTGTGTTTTACATCTGTTGTTTTTGTTGTTGTTTTGGTATCTCTGAAGCACCTCGGTGGACGTTTATCCTGGACAGCTTGAATGTACCCCTGTGGCTGCCCCTGAAAGTTAAGGCAGCCTCTATTTGAGTGGATGGAATACCTCTTTGTGAAAATAAGGTGTCATTTACTGGAAATAAAACACAAAATTTAATAGTTGCTCAGCTGGGCTTTGGTGTATTTGTCTTCCTTCCCTTCCAGCTCCCATACAGTCTCACAAGTAAACACTGGCAGCTCATAAATTGCAACCAAGAAAGTGACTATGTCAGATGATAGACTCAAGTGAATGTCAGCCTTGGAAGCCAAGCCCAAGGTCATGGCCATAGCAGATGGGCTCTGTTAAGCCCCTGACCGTTGCGTTTCCTGTGCATCCCGGAGGTAGGTCACTGCTTACCTGGTTTCAGGATGAGTGAATTCCCTTCTTCAGCTGGGGTATGGAGGTAGTTTCCAGGTCTATTTACCCAATGTCGGAAAACATGGGCAATAATTTTGTGTGTGTGCTTTAAAAAAAAAATTACGAGTCATCTCTCTTGCTGCCTCCTAAACAGAAAGAAAACTAGTTTGATTGGGAGGTAGAAGCTGGGGGAAACCTGTGGTGCTTTCAGTCAGCAGTGACGGGATTGAGGGGCAGCCCGGGAAGTTGTGCACGGTTGTTTCAGACAAGCCCTCCGATGGGACTTGGACCTTTACTGTGTCATGCAGTGATTTGCTTCTAAGTGGAAAATATTTTTCCTTTACCTTTTAATTCCTACCTGGAGAATCATTCTTTGTAGCTTTCATAAAGGATTGGAAACTACTGACTCACCAACTTTTTAGGGACGGTTGGCTTTTTCCTTTGTTGAATACACTGTGAAATTGTGATTCTGGAATCTCGAGTCTTCATCTCCATCTTTCTTACCACATGTACTAGTTGAATACTGGTGTCAAGGACGAAATAAGTAGACCCAAAAAACAATACTTTAAAAATATCTATCGTAACCATGTCAGAAAAATGCTGGGGAAACAAAGGAAAGATTATTACCATCTTGGTGTAATAATCTCCTGTTTATCCTATACATGTGTTTTGTTTATATGATTGCATGAGCATACATGAAGCTTTCCTTATTATTTTTAAGTTCATATATCATAATCATGTTTAGAAGAGTACAAATATACATTTAAAAAAATTTTATAAGAATTTATTTAAGCCGGACTTTCAGCAAGATGGAGGCATAAGTGGATGCTCTGTCCCTCCACGCACAACCAAGATTAGAACAACAACAATTTAGAGGCAGAATAACACCCAGAACTGACAGAATTTATCTGAATGGAAGTCGGACAGCCAAGAAGTTGAAGTAGACCCGTTCATCCAGACCGGTAGGAGGGGCGGAGAGGAGCAGTGGGGCGCAGAACATGGAGAGCAGGGAGAACTGGGCGCATAAGGCAACCAGGAGCTCATAAGGCATCTGGGGCATGAAGGATCACAGTGGGTGGACCCTGAGTACACAAGCGGCAGCTGGCGGACCCAGTGAGGTGGTGATTGTGGACCAGGGCAGAGCACGCAACCCAGGATCCCAGGGAAGGGACTGAAGTGCCAGGAGAGTGGAGCTGCTGCCATTGTTCCCTCCGGTTCCCGCTCCCGCCCCTGGCCCCACATACAATGTCACAATCTAGTGACTGGGGTGCCCAGCCCCGGTGAACACCTAAGGCTCCGCCCCTCACCATAACAGGAGCGACCAGACCCCCCCCCCCAAAAAAAAAGAGACATGTCTCAAACAGAAGAACAGATCAATGCCCCAGGACTCATACTTTTGAGCGACCAAGAGATGGCCAATCTATCAAATGCACAGTTCAAAACACTGGTGATCAGGAAGCTCACAGAATTGGTTGATTTGGGGCGCAAATTAGATGAAAAAATGCAGGTTACCATAAAAGAGATGAAGGAAGATGCACGGGAACCAATAGTAATGGGAAGGAAACTGGGACTCAAAACAAGAGTCGACCAGAAGGAAGAAAAAAACAACCAAACAGAAAAGAATGGAGAAATAAGAATTCAAAAAAACGAGGAGAAGCTTAGGAACCTCCAGGACATCTTTAAACATTCCAACATCCGAATTATAGGGGTACCAGAAGGGGAAGAGGAAAAGCAAACAGATTGAACACGTATTTGAACAAATAATAAAGGAGAACTTCTTCACTCTGGCAAAGGAAATAGACTTCCAGGAAATCCAGGAAGCTCAGCCCCAAAGAAGTTGGACCCAAGAAGGAACACACCAAGGCCCATCATAATTACACTAGCCAAGGTGAAAATGAAGGAGAGAATCCTAGAAGCAGCAAGAGATAAGGGGACAGTAACCTACAAAGGAGTTCCCATCAGACTGTCAGCTGATTTCTCAAAAGAGATCTTGCAGGCAAGAAAGGGCTGGAAAGAAGTATTCCAAGTCATGAAAGACAAGGACCTATATCCCAGATGACTCTATCCAGCAAAGCTTTCATTTAGAATGGAAGGGCAGATAAAGTGCTTCTCAGATAAGGTCAAGTGAAAGGAGTTCATCCTCACCAAGCCCTCCCTTATTGTATGAAATGTTAAAGGGACTTATCTAAGAAAAGAAGATAAAGAAAAAACATGTATAGTAAAAGGAAAGCAAACTCACAATTATTAACAACCACACCTAAAGCAAAACCAAAAGAAACTAAGCAAACAACTAGAGCAGGAACAGAACCACAGAAATGGAGATCACATGGAGGGTTAGCAACAGGGGAGTGGGAGGAGGAGAGAGGGGGAAAAGGTACAGAGAATAAGTAGCATAGATGGTAGGTAGAAAATAGACAGGGGGAGGGTAAGAATAGTATGGGAAATGTAGAAGCTAAAGAACTTACAAGTATGACACATGGACATGAACTAAAGGGGGGAATATGGGTGGGAGAGGGTATAAAGGTGGAGGGGAGTGAAGGGGAAAATGGGACAACTGTAATAGCATAATCAATAAAGTATATTTTTAAAAAAAGAATTTATTTTAAGCCAAACTGACAAAATAGGCTGGGGAGCAAGATCTCAAACGCTCCCCACATACACATTTTTTTTGACTAGGTAACATGGTTTGAAATCCAAAGGTGCAAGAGGACCTCAAGTGAAAAGCCTGTCGATCTTGTCCACCTTGACCACATCCCTGCACAGAGGCAGTGAGTGTTCCCAGCTCCCCAGGTGTCCTTCCGGAGATCTCTGGGTACACAAGCAGAGACACGTGTGTGGTCTTTACCTCTCTTTGGCACGAGTGATAAAAACTATGCACTGTACACTATTTGGTGATCGCTCCATGTCAGTACATAAGGAACTTCCTCTTTGTTCCAGCTGCCAGTTATTCCATTGTGTGTTGGTAACAGTTTGTTTTTCCAGTCTGTGATCTAGGTTCTTTCAAACCTTTTGCTTATGCTCTTTTTTTTTCATACAGCTCTCAAAGAAAGTTCTATTAAATCTCAGACTATATACTTTTAAGTAAAACAACAAAAATAATGACAAGAATTATATTAAACCCATAAAGTAAAGAAAGGAAAAGGAAAATCTGGATATCCACATTCTGGGGTTCTCTAAATCAAGAGCCTCAAATCTGCCTCTAAAAATATTTATGGATAGAACTTTTTCCAAGTGGTTGTCAGTCGTGGTCTTGTAAGTCTGGTTCCATAATAACCTATAATGTAACTATCTCCACTGGAAGGTCTGCCGGCCTGTGCTGCAGTGGGAGTGAAGTCCATCAGGCTCCCGAGTCCTTGAACCCTGCAGCGCACAATGGCAGTGGGCCGCGGTGGGGCGTCCAGGGAAAAACCGGCCTGCACCCAGCCATCCACAGAAAACTGTGTGGCTGCCACTTGTATGAATGGCCATGTACATTTTGACAAGATAAGAGCTTGAGAAAATTAACTTCAAAATATGTTTCATTGCCACTGGAATTCCTCACAGCTTATATTGGTTACTAGAAAACTGAACTGTGAAAACATGAGTTCTGTAATTATCAGATTAACTGGTTCTTGTTTACCATTGTTCATTCTTTAGATATTTACATACATATTGCCCCACTGAGGTCCTCAGTCTTCACACTTGTGTCTCCTTGTCCCCACTGGTGGTGGCTGCAAGCCTCCAAGGCCCTGTGGTGGCTGGCACAAGCCACAAGCCACCCACACTGGGGCCCGGTGCATCCCACTCTTTATGAAACAGTGCTGCAGTGAACACCCTCATACTCAAGACATCCGGCATCAGAGGGAAGACCCTCAAAGAAGAAACACCATGACTCAAAGAGCCTGAAAGCCTTCTGCAGAGATGGATCCCGCAGACCGGCCACCTTCTCCCTGGACGGCTGGGCGCAGCGGCTTGCAGCCTCTCCCTTCAGAACACCACGTTCCTCTCAAGTCTGCCATGGAGGTTAAGAGAGTGAGCTCTTAAATACAGACTTTTTTTTAAAGAAAAAAAAAACATTTAAAATTCAGACTACCGGGGTTTGCATCCCAACCCTGCCATTTGTAACTGTGACATTTGGGCAAATTACTCAACCTCTCTGAGCCTTGGTTTCTTCATCTCTGAAACACCCTAGTGTGCTATTGTGAAAGCTTGTATAATTTTTCCAGTCACTGCACTGCTCGCAAACAGAAACTTGAGTGTTCTATTTTTAAAAGACACGAACCAAAAATTACCCCAAACTTTTGCATTATTTCTCTGAGCCACAGTATGTTCTTTCCCTGGAGAGATAACTGATATTAAGTATCATCTACATTTTGCTTGCCTAGAAAAATACATGGTAACTTTTCTGCCTTGCAGCACCAAACCACAGTATAGCTGAGCCCCACCACTGTGCACACTGGTGCTAATTAGAGGCATGTTCACTACAACAGGGCTCTGAGAAGCTGATAAAGAGGGAATGTTTCAGATTCTGACTTTATTAAGCAGATGAATGTAGCCAGCCAGTTCTGTGAACGCTTTGCAGTGAGTGGCAGGTGTCCCATATGCATCTGATTACGTTAACCTAGAAAGGGCTCACACTCTGCCTCCAGGCGAGCTTCATCCCAGCAATCAGACCGCCAGGGCAGGGACTTTGCCCTTTGTGGGCTGGATAGCTGGATACTGGTCGTCTGTTCCTCTGATTAGAAGCTGCTGTTTTTATAAAAAGACCTAAATCCCTTCATTATCTCCAGC